CAGTGCACGAGGAATATGGCTTATCCTTTGTAAATCAAGATTACCCCAGCAATTACCTAATTGCAAATCATCTCAAACTAGATGGCTGCTGTCAGCACTTAAAACTTCCCTGGCTTATATCCCCAGAAACTGTGCTAGCACTTAGACGGAAACAGAGAAACTGCACAGATGTGTGAATGTCCCTCTGTTTTTTCCAGGTAAAATCCAAAATCTGCTGCCTTCTGGATCTGTAGATTCACTCACCAGGCTAGTCCTGATAAATGCACTCTACTTCAAAGGAAACTGGGCAACAAAGTTTGAAGCTGAAGCTACCAGGCAAAGACCTTTCAGAATAAACATGGTATGGCCATATACTGCCCTATTTCCTACACTGCAGGAGGAAAAACCTGGAAAATATGGGGGGAGAGGAGGGGGAGGGAGAAATCCTGTCACCCTTTAAATCCATGTGGAGGGACAGTTTCTTTATTTAAAGCATTCAGTATATTTATTTCACTACACTTTCAGCACTAAAACTGCACACACATACCAGGCCCTGAGGCACAACTAAATTGTCAGAAGCTGTTCAAAAAAGCTTCCATTCTCCAAAGGCAGGGAAAAAAAAGAGGTGAACAAAACTGTATAGGTTAGTTCTTTACATTTTCACTTTCAACCATTCAACCAATCAGAGTGGCATACAGTTTCCTACAATTGGTGTAATCTGAGACAGCTCAGATGGCATGCCATGCCTCCTAGTGCCTTTCCAGTGCCTTGCAGGGATCCTCTGAAGATCCTGTGTTCTGTGTCCTATCCATAAGGATGTCTCAGACACACTGGGCAGCTTGTAGGGTAAATACAATAAACCTCCACTGTTCTACTTTAACTCAGTCTTTTTACTGTTCAGAGTAAAATTGTAAAACATTCAATTTGATTTGTTGCAGCATACAACTAAACCAGTGCCCATGATGTATCTGAGGGATAAATTTAACTTAAACTACGTAGAATCAGTTCAGGCTGATGTTCTTGAGCTTCCATACGTCAACAACGACCTCAGCATGTTTATCCTGCTACCGAGTGACATCTCTGGCTTACAAAAGGTAAAAAAACAGAGAACATAAATAATGTGAAGAAGTAAGAGTGTCATTATTTAATCACTTTATGCACGTGTGAGGTAAAAGACCAGGCTGCAGTCATGTTTCCAGGAAGGAAGGTACTGATCAGGCTCAAGGTAAAGCAAATCCCAAATCTAGTCTAGTACTCTGAGCTTGAAGCTCTTGAAGCTCAGACTAGACTTCTTAGTCTTGGAAGCCAGCACGTCTGCGGTTGCTAAAGTTGATCAGTCCTAACCCAAACCCCATAAGATTTCCCCTTTTCCAGCTGAACAAAAATGAGGACGGAAAACCAGCCCTGCTGAGATCCACTGTCCGCACCAGTTCAGACAGATATGATATCATTCCAAGAAAAACCCACCAAAAATCAGGCAGCCTATGTTATGTTCCAGGATGCCCAGAATTAATACGTATGGACACTGCCACCTTCTGTAAAAAGCCTGATTCTGCCTCTGAATAACAAACCCTTAAGAAATTTTCATTTTAAAGTGTTGTGTGGGTGGGGGGAATGCTCTTTTCAGTAAATTCTAACATGTGGGGAAGACAGCACTGGGAACAGAAAAACAACCAGACTATTGTAGTTCTGCTACATTTCCTGAAAGTTACATGAGAGCTAAATGAGAACATTTCAAATATTGCATTGATATACCATAGGAAAAAATTCTCCTTTAGTTAAAAAGATCTCCAAACTGCTGTTTCATTACTGTTTTTCTTGTACTCTTACAATGTCTTGAAAAGTTCTCCATTTAAGAGAAGAAATAGCCCTTAGGACACAGGTTTTTGAACCTTTTTTAATTTTCTAAATTTCTTTTTACTCACTGCAGCTAGAAAGAGAATTGACTTTTGAAAACCTGTCTGCATGGACTAATCCAGAACTAATGGAGAAAATTAACACAGAAGTTTATCTGCCCAGGTTCACGTTAGAAGAGAAATATGACCTCAAATCTACTTTGAGCAGGATGGGGATTCAAGATGCCTTCACAGAAGGTCAAGCTGATTTCACAGCAATGTCCAAGACTGGTGATCTGTTTTTGTCACAAGTTTTTCACAAGTGTTACCTGGAAGTCAATGAAGAAGGCACAGAGGCAGCAGCTGCCAGCTCAGCAACACTGGCGTCACGAAGTCTTGGTGCTACTGTTCTCTTTTTGGCAGATCACCCTTTCCTCTTCTTTATCAGGCACAACAAGACCAAGACTATCCTCTTCTTGGGAAGATTTTCTTCTCCCTAGGAACTTGATTACTAAATAGGTTATTGCAACAACAAAAATACACACCACAAGGAACATCTCAATAGCCTGTGCACTTCTTAATTTTCCTGTACTGTTGACAAATCTTTCAATGTTAGAAGAGAGTATATATGAAAAATAACCTCAAATTTATGCCTCTGGTTCTTTTTCCTAGCCAAAGAACCCCAAAATGCTAGAACTACACCCTAAGCACCAAACTGTACAAAGAATATTACTGTGTCTTTTTGGCACTTCCTGAACTAGAACTTCCACAATTCAGAACAGACTGAGCTGAGCTCAACCAGTAATTTTAAAGTTTTGATATCAAAGAAGAAAAAAACCCCAGGAAAATCTCCTTGTTTTAGCATGCTGCTGCATCTCCATTGGTTTCAGCTCATGCTGATCCCCAAGGCAGGCTACTCACCTGCATTCTTGTCAATTTTTTACCAGCTTTGCAGCCTGGCAGAACAGGCAATGAAATAAACCTGCAAAATCTTTGTTCCAGATACTGGTGCTTCTTTTTTGCTCAAAAAGGGGTTAACACATGTACCTTCTAATCTCTGTCCCACAGCAATTGGGAAATATTTAACAACACTGTAGAACTAGGAAAATAAAACACGTGTCTTACAACCTTCTCCTTTGTAAACTTTCAACCTTACGACACTATTTCCAGCCTAGCACCATACTGCCTTGCTTTCATTTTACTTTGCCACTTATTCACGGGTTTGAGACAAGATCAAATGGGAGAATCAAGTCTAATACTAATACAAGTAATACTAATGGCCATAAGTGTTTTCTGGAAGATGAACGTGAATCTCCCAGGTGATATTTTTATTATCCAGGTCATATTATCCTGTCACTGCTCTTTCTCCTAAGAGAGTGTCCTGTTCAGTCATGCATATTTGCAGGGAATGCTCCTGACTATCGGAATTCACAACAGAGAGATAAGGAATGGGTTTCTAATGGACTTGCACACACTAACAGCATCTTGCTACAAATGCATCTTCTTGAAGCAGCAGGACACCCTTTTCCTGGCAGAGAAGAGGCTGCTGACTGTCCCTGAGTCCTTTCTCTTTCTTTTCAAGCTCTCAGCTGCTCCCAGGGTCCCTTCCGGTTCTGCTTCCCAAATGGGAAGGAACAGAAGAAAAGTGTTATGAAGCACGTGTTTTACACTGTCCCTTACAGAACCCCAAGAGAAATGCCTTCTGCCTGTCTCAGTTGTGAAACATGACACTGGATCCCTGTGCATTCAGACCCAATTCTGCCACACCCTCCTTCACCGCATGGAAGAGTGACATATCCCCATGGATAAGCCTCTTCAGCACTTCCTGGTCTGCCTTGGGAATAAAGACAGAAAAGCCACACTTGGGAGGCTAAGAAGGAATAAAACCTAAAAAAATGAGCACAAACTCACTTAGGCCTTTAAAGTCAATGGAAATGTGAGTCACCTTTTCTCTCTCCTTCACTATTTTAAGCATGGTTGCAAAGATGACACAGTTGATGTCCTTTTGGCTGTGCCATATCATTCCTGAGTGGCAGTGGCCACAGCACATAAAAAGTGAGTTGTACATTAAGGAACAGCCTTTTCCCAGGGTCAACAGCAGTGCTGGAAATATTGTGAAAGTCTTGAAAGGGCTATGGGTAACCTTATCTACTCATGGACCTGCTCCAAGCTCCTGGCTTGGCTTCCTCACCACCCAACCATTCAGTTTACTTTTCTCCTATCCAGATTTCTGGAGGACTTACTATACTAAAACCAGCACTTGTTTAATTTCTGGCATTTCTTCACTGCCTTGCACAACACTGATTTCTGACATTTTTTAGAATTCTTGACCCACTGTATTCCTGTAATCAAGCTTGCAGTAAAATGCTTAGCACACAGTACAATTTCCTTCCTCTGCTGCATCTTCCCCTGCCCTCTAGGGTCTTAAGAGTTGTTGCCACCACATTCTTCTTCCATGACTGTCTCTCTTCTGGGACTTCAAAGTGACAGCTCTTGTGCCATGTTTACCTCTCCTGTTTCTCTCTGTCTTTGCTTGAACCCTTCCAGTAGGGTTGTCTCAATTCTTGCCCTCCTCCTTACAGCTCAGTAACTCAAGGTTTTGCAGTGTTTGACTCAGATGATTCCCAGCCATGACTGCAATGAGATTTCTTCACCAACACAACCAGTGGGGTGTCCATCCCTTACTCTCCTTCACAGATTTGCCTCTGTCTGTATTCCTAGTGATCTTCAGTCTGAAGGAGGGCTCCCAGTCTCCAATTCAATCAGTAAGCTTGGTTTTATGTTGAGGTACTGCATTTGAAACTCAAGAGTCACAGAGAGGAGAATCAGACTCTCAATATCCGCTTAAATTCAGAAGCCAAAAACCAAGCATTGTGTAACCTTTCTACAAGTCAGTTATTTTAAACAACAGAGCAGTTATCTCCACAACACCAGACAACCCTTAGAATCAGCAACTTGCTTTGCTATCCTGTCAGTAGGCTACTGTGGTGCAACAATAGACTTCCAATTTTAATTCCGTTGTCCTTTTGAAATGTCTAAACCTGTCTGAAAGTGACCAGGTCAACAAAAGGGTCAAAATTTCATGAGATGTTTTGGGGATGTGGTAGAAAGGAACTTTGGGTAGGTGGAAGCAACCTGGATGTAGATAAAAAGGAAAGGGAGGGGCAAGCAGTACTACGTTCCTTAATTTAAAAAATTGCTTAACACAGAACCTGACTGAGGACAAGACCTAAGTGTGCTCTCTCATTAAAAGGTAATTACTTAATTATAATTTAATATATTAAATCCATATTTATATACATATAAAAATATTAATATATAAATATTTATATATGTTATATAATATATAAATATAAAATAGAAATAGAAATAAAAATAAAATATATAATATAAGAATATATAAAATATATAAATAGATTTATATTAAATTTATAATTATTTTATTATAATAAAGGTAAATATTTGTATCAATTTAAGTCAATTTTATGATAGTTTAAAAAAGAAATCTATGCCATGTGTGACTGTATGGATAAATGATAATATATAATGATAATTATGTGTTATAATGCATTATTCTTGCCTTGTGCTTTTCTAAATGTCAAACATTAGAGAAAATAATTCTGTAAGTCTAAGGGAAACTGCTCATTTGGGGCAGAATTATTCACAAGCAGGAAATTTTTCCTAGGGCAGAGACTGCATTACAAGTAACATCTTCATTTTGATAAAAGAATTCCATACTTGATACAAAGGTACAGTGCTGCACATTATCAGGCCAGAGACTCAGGAGCATTCCTTAGCTGAAAACAGATTTTCCCATCCTGATGCTCTCTTGGTTGCATTCACCAAGGAAAGAAAATCACTCTGTGGTAGAAACTTGGTCCTGAGGGCATACTAACTGCCAAAAAGAATGTAATTGTTTGGAAACCAAACACTTGATAAATACCTGCAGACTTCAGAGCTTGCCCCTCAATTTGTGTTGCTCCATTCCATAGATACAAGTATTAATACCAACAACAACAACAATAATATAAGCATTTCTGGTCTCTTGAGTGGTAAATTACATGAGGCAGGTGTTACTGGGTAGCCTGGAGTACTTGTAACCTCAAGGCATCTGGCAGTTTCTGGGGAAAATAAAATTGCTGGAACATACAGAAGGGCTGGTAGGTACACACAATGAATAAACTGCATAAGTCTAAATGGAAGCAACAGCTTTGCTGTTCATGAAATAACTGCATTTGTACATTGCTGGCCAGGAAAAGCAAATGAGACTAAAAAATATGCCTAAATCCTTCCTCAGTGTCAGCTGTCAATTCTATACAGATCCAAAATCTAGTAGTGAGGAACTCAAACATGTTGAGAACCAATGTACTAAAAATTCATAGTAGTTCCCCAGGGAACATTAGTTAAGGACAAAAAGGAAAAGAAATACAGAGGTTACAAATCTGCACATCTTTGAAAATCAAAGGCAGAAAGAACCACAAAGAAAACTGCAGCTGCATGAAAGAGGAAAAAAATCTAAAATAAATTGGTGCTTCCAACAGGTGGCAAAAAGTATCTGTGTGGAAGATAAACATACAACCGTGCTACTAGTTTTAGTGCTTTAAATGGAATGTCTTGCATGTCCAGCATTTCTCACCAATGGGTACCCTGTACAAAAATTTCAACACACAAATAGTACAATTCTGTCTGTTGCCTCTTTCCAGGTTGTAAAAATGGAAGTGATCTCCACATCAGTTGGCAAGTTTACCATTGATCTTTTCAACAAGCTAAATGAGACCAACAAGGGAAAAAATATTTTTTTCTCCCCTTGGAGCATATCAGCTGCTCTGGCTCTGACATACCTGGGAGCAAAAGGAACTACAGCAACTGAGATGGCAGAGGTAGGTTGCTTTTGTACTAGTATTGTGGGAAGAACCGTTTGGATTTGCACAAACACATTCCTATTGTTGGGAGAAACAGCTGTGGAAGTGAGTTCTGCCTTGCAGCATGCAGACAGGAGCACTGTGTTGGTGGTCTGGGAGGGGGATGGTGCTACTCATTGTCATTCCATGGGATTTATTGTCACTACAGCTTCAGTATCCCTTTGATTAGTTACCTAAGGAGCAGATAGCACAGTGAGTTACCACAGGGAGAGAAATATGACAACCATTTGAACCTCATTTGGCTTTAAATCTCACAAGGTCTTTCATGCCTATTTCTCATCTTTGGAAACTCTGCTTGCAGGTCCTTCATTTCACCCTGGGAGCAGCAGCTGAGGCTTCTTCTGTGGCCAGACCTTCTCGGGGGAGACCAAAGAGAAGAAAATTGGTATCTATTAGGACTGAAATTCCATGATAAAGAACCTCCAGAATCAAAATGTCCAGATACAGCTTTAGGAGACCAGTATTTATTGTCTGCACCCCTCCTTAAAGTACAAACCCCAACCATACTTCACAGCAGGTTGAAGTTCAGTTCCTTTTACTCACTCAGACTCTCAGAAGCATGAAAGGATGAGTCACTGGGATAGTCTGGAAGGTTTGTTACATGGCAGCTCAGTTAATCCAGTCATGAACAGAGCCCTGCAAATTGCAGTGGTGGTAAACTTGGGAAAATAAAAAAGTAAGCAAGAGAAACCCAAATCCCTCTTCTATATACATCACTTAGCATGTTTTGAAAGCTTCATGCAAAAATGAAATTTCTGAATGTTTGGTTTCTTTTTCCAAGGATCCTGAGAACAAGAAAGCTGCAGATATCCATTCTGGCTTCAAGAAGCTCCTGACTGCCATCAACAAACCCAGGAGCACCTACTCCCTGAAAAGTGCCAATCGTATTTACGTGGAAAAAAACTTCCTATTATTGCCTGTAAGTAAAATCTCAGAGAAGAGTAAGAAAAGGTGCAAAAAAAAAATTATCTGTTTAATTACTTGCCATTAATAGAACAAGTTGGAAGCTGACCTTGAATACTGCAAATAGGAGCTCTGGACTCCAGTAATAATCTTAACAGGAGAATACCAGTCTGCTCACAGAACTTAAGGATGCCATGCCCTTTGACTCTATTGTAGGAATTCCTTTACATGCAATGTGCCTTTAGTATTGGAACCCCCAATATATAAAATTGTAAATGAGAAATTAAAATAAGCACATCCACAGCATGAAGGATGCATGCAGCCTTCCTCATTTCTCCAGCTAAATCTTGGAACAAAAGATGTGAAATTTCTGTTCTTTGGTTATTTCTTAATTGTTAACCCACAGTCCAGCAGAAAGTAACAAGCAAGATCCTGCAGTCCTTTAGGTCCAAGAATCCATCAAGTATAAGAGCTAACAACTGCCTTTTGGGACTAAAAAATAGTATATTTCTCTAGTACAGTACTTTTTTTCTCCCTTTTTTATTATTTTTCAGACATACATACAGCTCAGTAAGAACTACTACAAAGCAGAGCCACAGAAGGTTAACTTTAGGACAGCACCAGAACAGTCAGGAAAGGAAATCAACACTTGGGTTGAAAAACAAACTGAGGGTAAGCTGGGCTCAACCCCAACATCTTTGCTCTCCCACAAAGTCAGTCTGCCATTTCCTTTGGGCAGGTGCCCTTGCTTCCCCAGGTGCTACTGCAGCAGCCAGGTCATGCCTTCCCATGTGGATGTGGGCAGTGAGCAGAGATGCGGTGGGAGGACAGAGAAAGAACAGCACACTTAAGCTGCTTCAAACACCTGATCTGGACGTCAGTGCCTCCCTGAGGAGATTCCCATTGACTCCGCTGTGCAGTGCAGCAGCTGCTCCTCAGGCACAACCATGCCCTGGTACTGCACCCAGGCACCACTGGCAGAGCAGACAGAGGGGAGAGACACCTCTGCCTGCCAGCACACTCCAGGGCATGGGGGGATGCCTGCCTTGCTCTACCACCCTGCACTGGGATGAGGGGCTCCTCCTTCTACCTGGTGTAACCAGCGAGGCTTTCTGCTTCTAGCTGCTTGCCATTAAGCTGAGACATTTTTGGAGGAAGGAGTAAATCCCTGTCAGTTAGCCAGGAGAACAGGTCAGCAAATGGCTTTGGAAACTGTAAAGAAATGCACTGATTTATGTCAGGGGAGCATTTTAGGGAGCAGGGCACTGAGGCATAGATTTTTTACTAAGAAGCTGAACTGAGTGAAAAACTGATCAAAATGTCCTCACTGTACTGTGATGGAATGAAACCCGACTTTTGTGCTTTCAAAAGGCAAAATCAAGAATTTGCTGGGTCCACAAGATGTGACAAACTCCACCACATTGATCCTGATAAATGCCATTTACTTCAAGGCAGAATGGGAAGTGAAATTCAAAGCAGAAGATACAGAGCTGCAACCCTTCCGACTGAGCAAGGTAAGTTCCTCCTGCATCCTTCTTACTGTAAACAATGTGGTCACAACAGCTCTTGCTGAAATCTTTCCATTTCATAAGTCTTTTAGGTAGCTCTATGGTAACTAGACTCTAAAAATCTGGTTGCAGTAAAATCTGTCAGTCCTCAGCTCACTGAAACATTAGGATGTGCTAACGTAAATGTTAATGAACTCCAGGTAACAGCTACTGTTTCCAAAATCAATACAATCATTTAAAACTTTTCTGTAAAACAGTGCTAAAATTGACTAAATTGTAAAAACATGATTTTGAGATGGATGGGAACTGCATGCCATGTCATAGATGAGTACAGAGCCAGGCCTTTGTGCTGTGCAACCAGGCTGGGCACAATCACTCCTGCTCCAATACAGCTGCAACAGGATGCCCTAAACTGGTGCATGGCTGTGTGAAGCTAAAAGCAATGTTAATGTCATGTATCCAGAAGAGATGTTAATGAATTCACCATTAAAGACAAGAACTCTGTGCAAAGCGTAACTTCTGCCTCCTGATTAGCACATACATACGGTCTGCTTCTTTGAACGAAGGGATATAGATGTTAATAGAAGTTATATACTCCTGAAGAAGTGACTGCTTCCCAGGAGCTCCTCTTATCATAAGCCCTTTTGCTCTGACACTAGTGTTACCTTCTACCAAGCAATCTGCTGATCACCTTTTATCACCAGAGAGAGACCACTGATAAGCTGCACAACACTCGTCCTCTTAAACCACGGCTGTTTTGCTGCCAGTGTTGTAAGGCCATATTCCACACCTGCTCCATACCCCTAATCCTTGCAGACATTTTTAACTCTCTTCCTCCTTGGGCATGTTTTGGGGACAAGAGAAAAATATCTCAGTTCAGCCCCCAACAAAAGCTTTGAGACAGACATCAAGATAAGCAATGTTGCCCAGTCAAGAAAAGCTTTGGAAAATGGATGTTAGATAACTGTTTTAAAAGCTTGTTATAAAATTTTCTCTCCCTGCATTGAGACATCATCACCCTTCCATTCAAGGAATGATTTCTTACTTACAACAAATACTTTCCAGAACAAGACTAAGCCTGTAAAGATGATGTACATGAGAAAAATATTTCCAGTTCTCATCATGGAAACAATGAATTTCAAAATGATTGAGCTGCCATATGTGAAACGCGAACTCAGTATGTTCATCCTCCTTCCTGATGACATCAAAGACAACACTACGGGTCTTGAACAGGTAAGAAAGCATGCTACAACCATTTTGTAAAAGTGGTTAAAAAAAAGAAGGGTGGGCTGACAATAATATCTCCCTTTGTAAAGACACGCTATCATGCTGTTTGACCTCCTCCACTAGCTGAATTAATTTTCTTTAATACTTATCTAATCCCAAGAAAGTTCTTCCATGCTGAGTGCCCTTAGCTTGGTAGGAACTAAAGGAAGGCAACACTGTGCATAATCAGATGCTCAGCTCTTCAACAGCCCCCTTGACTGACACCCATTTCACATGATTTGTTAAGGGTTAAATCTCCCTTCCTTGCACGTTCAGGAGAGACAGCACCACACAAGAAGTCATAGGTTCATAGGTTCTTCCTGAGATGATTGGCACGTAAGGAATCCATAAATATGGATTTATTTCTATATTTTTCTCACTCTTTTTCCGCCTCTCCCTTCCCACCATTTTTCTGCTCTATGAAAACCTAGGATTTTGGTGAGACTGTGTTTCACAGTACATCTGATACTGTAGTTACTGTAATTCCAAGATTGTTAAATTCTTGGAGTCTACACCATTCATTTCTTTCCCTCATTTGATCTGAGCTGAAGAGTGGTGGCATAGTGCCCGGGACACAGAGGGGCAGTGAAAGACTTTGCTGGAAGCACTTTGTTTCAAAGCCATCAAGCAAATACATGCAGTAATGTTAACACCTGTTTTTATAGAACTGGACCAAACCATATGCCACAGAGCAATTTTATTTACATCAGGACTGAATTAAAAGAGAGGAAAGAACTACCATGGGGGATGGCAGCTGTTGAATGCTCTTCCCATCTCTCTTTTGCCATGAATTGGAAAGGGTGCTACTCGAAACTTTGCAGCATTAAGACTCAAATACTTGTTGTGCACCTTGTCTCTGATCATCAGTAAAGCCAATTTCTATTTAATGCTTTCACCTAAATGTTAAATTTGCTATTTAAAACATTTCATTAATTACATATACATACATACATACAATAAAATTGATTAATTAATAGTTAATTAATTGTTTTTCCCTGCAAACACCAAATTTCTTCTCTTCCTCAAATGGTAGCTGGAAAAAGAACTGACGTATGAGAAGCTGTCCGAATGGGCTGATTCCAAGAAGATGACCGAGATTCTTGTGGATCTGTACCTACCTAAATTCAAAATGGAAGAGAGATATGACCTCAGCGATAATCTGATCAGGATGGGAATGCGCAGTGCCTTCGGCAGCAATGCTGATTTCAGTGGAATGACTGAGAGGGATAAAGTGATGATCTCCAAAGTTTTTCACAAGTCTTTTGTTGCAGTTGATGAGAAGGGCACTGAGGCAGCTGCTGCTACTGCTGTCATTATAGAACTAACAAGTGCCTATGTTAGCCATGCTCTGAAATTTAGGGTTGACCATCCTTTCTGCTTCTTCATCAGACACAACAAGTCCAAGAGCATCCTTTTTTTTGGTAGATTCTGCTCTCCTCTAGAATGAATCATTGCTTGCTCTCAGACAGCCACCAAGGTTCACTGTACAATGGAAAAATGTGAACTGCAGTGCTAAAATCTCAGCCTTAAGCCATGAAGCCACCTATACTGAAAGTGCCTGTTCTTTTCCTTTCCTCAGCCCCCCTCAAAGAAGTCAGCATCCAGAAACCATTCTGAGCCATCAAAGAACACCCCTCTACTGCTTCCTTCTATTGTCCTAATGAGACAGTCCTAAACAGAAAAGAAAGAGTAGATTTTTGCTCCCTTTTATCAAATATGCTCTTCTGGCTTTATTGTATAAAAGTAAGGTGGAGTCATAAAAACTCTCTGCACACAGGCCATAATCTCTCCCTATGTCAAATGCTGACTTCAAGGGAAATGCAGTTCATTCTCTTGACTGTCACAGAGAGTCAAGAAAAAACAAAGAAAAGAAAAAAACAAACTTGTAGAAATCTGTATGCTCTCCTTTGCTTTCTTTTCCTCACTGGGAAACCTGCATTTGTACTACAATGCTATTTCATAACCTTATTTTCAAATTTCAGTGACTGTTGGAAATTAACAAAATTTAATACAAATACAGAATAATCTCAGAATGCCCCCTAACATCCCTTGTCTCACCACACGTATATAGGCACATCACATTCATTCTCTCCTGCTCTTTCAGCTTTCCGAAAAAGTGAGGCTGTGAGGGAAAGTTTTCCATCTCTTAATATTAAATTGCTAACTTCTAATCATGTTGCATTTTTTCCTCATTTTTTCTAAATTTTGAATTTTAAGGTTGCTGAGATTTCCAACCAGCAAAAACGCTAAGAAAACTATTAGCAACATGCCTTCTTGACACCTTTTATTGATATGTAATCTAAACCTGTTAGAATTTAAATTTGCTTCCTCTTTTTAATTTTACTTGTTTATACCTATTTCCAGGTTACTACCTGCAAAGCTTCCTTTCCACCTGTAATATTGACCAATGTTTGATTTGTACCTTCTGAGTGCATCTCAGCAAAGATATTCGTGGTATTGACAGAAATATAAGTGAAATTTTGTTTGATGCTTTACTTATTAATTTACCATGAGCTGCATTTAATAAAATAAATAAACTTGAAGTTGTGTTTGTGTTATTCAAGACACTGAGTTAAGTTACTTGGTTCTCTTGTAGCATCCTGCAATCTGCCCAGCTGGAGCATGTTTCTATTCTTGTCATTCCAAATTAAACCACCACACCATCCCAACTGACAAAGGTGAGAACACACTGGTGTCTTATTTTCACTAGGTTTCAAGTAGGCCTCCAAACACTGTTATTCTGAATGTCATCCTAGGTATTTACAAACATACCTTGCACAACACACTAGAGATAAGAAGTCTGACCAGAGGCTATTTCCCAGAACAGCACTTTCCAAATACCATTTTTGACTGTGTTCAAGAGTGAACAAACAATGTGAAAAAAATGAACCTTCCACACATCCCTCTTGCCCATGTGCAGTAATGAACAAGCCATGCTGTACTGGCAGCATCAGTTTCCTCTGACAGCCTGGAAGGGCAGCAGTTATGCTGTCCCTGTGGTCATAAGGAATAGCATAAAGTTTTGCAGCCATTGTGGTAATCCAACTATGTGTCAGAGAACATTACATAAGACAATAGGATCTGAATGCAGGAGGTAGATACCATAAAAGCTTTTACTCTCAACAAAATTCCACCTATCACAACTTGCTCCACCTCCCCAGAAGGTATTCTGTTTGGAACTACATCTCTTTTCAACAAAGTATATACACATCTTCTTCCCTGCACAAAGTTCTGCTTCTAAAATCAGTGCCCTCCCTTGCCCATAAGCCACAGCTCAGGATTTAGTTGTCTGCCTCTCAGGACCTACCTCAGCACAGCCGAGATGTGTGCTATTGACTCGACTTTACTGAGAAGTTTGTTCTTTAGGTGTGGAAGAACATATAAGTGAAGGCTGTGAAAAATAAGAAGAGTGAAAACAGAACCTCTGAGGCCCTCTGAGGAGCTACAGAACAGTGACTGCCAGCTGGCGAGAGGTGCAAAGAGTCAAACACGCTGAGTTGGATACCAAGCCACTCCCAGTCTCAGCTTTCCTTGAAAAGGCAAATTAAAGGAAGAATATTCCTTGAAGAGTACACATTCCAGTGTAAGACTTGGAATACAAGTGAAAAGGGTGAAAGAGAAGAAAAGGAGCCCATCCAGGGGGGTGATCCTCTGCAGAGCTCATCTACTGCAAGCAACACCGGAGCTGCTTCATTTGTGCTTCCCTGCATTACTGTCATGGCAACCAGCATCTGGCTCTCAGGTCACGCTAACCCTCCCAGAAAAAGAGAATTGTCAGGGTAGAAGTGGCCATTTGAGATCATCTGGTCCCACCCACTATGCAAACAGGCTAAGCTGATGCTGGCTGCACAGGGCAATATCCAGTTGGATTTTGAATACCTGTCTCCACCTGTCTTCTGTATGGAGGATACACAAGCTGTCTTGGCAACCCATGCCAGTGTTTGACTATCCTCATAAGTGACCATCTTCACCCTCTGAATTTCAAGTTTTCAGCCTGTGCTCATTGCCCCTTGTCATCTGTTGTGGTTTGACACTGGCCAAACGCCAGGCACCCACAAAAGCTGCTCACTCACCCTCCCCTGCCACAGCTGGGCAAAGAACAGAAAAAAAAATTGACAAAGGGTTCATGAACTGAGATAAGGACTGTGAGAAAACATTCCAATGGCAAAACAGGCTTAGCTTAGAGGTACAAAGTGAATGTATTACAAACCAAATCAGAGAAGGATAATACAAAATTAAATAAGTCCTTAAAACACCTTTTCTTCCCCCAGCCTCTCCCTCCTTCCCATCAACAGTGCAGGGAGACAGGGCCTGGGGTTTTCAGTCAGTTAATTGCTGAGATTTTCTTCTGCTGCACAGGGAGAGGAGTCCTTCCCCTGCTACACTGTGAGGTCCCTCCCATGGGAGACAGTTCTCCGTGAACTTCTCCAGCATGGCTCCACTCTCACAAGCAGCAGTCCTCCCAAAACTGCTGTGGTGTGGGTCACTCTTCCATGGGATGCAGTCCTCCAAGGACAGGCTGCTCCAGCCTGGAAGCAGGGCCCTATTTCCACCAGGCACCCACCCACTTTGGCATGGACACGTCCCCCACAGCTGCAGGTGGATCTCTGCATCCCCCATGGATGCCCACGGGCTGCAGGGGCACACTTGCTTCACCATGGTCCTCACCACGGCCTGCAGAGGAATCTCGGCTCTGGTGCCTGGAGAACCTCCTGCCCTTCCTTCTCCACTGACTTTGGTGTCTCCATGTTGTTTCCCTCACATGTTCTCACCTCTGCCTCTTCTCTGGTTAGAAAAAAAACTGTGTGCACCTTGTTTTGATTTTCTTCTTAAATCTGTTATCACAGAAGTGTTACCAACCGCTCTAATTGGCCCAGCTTTGGCCAGCAGCATGTCCATCTTCAGAGCCATCAGAGATTGGGTCTGCTGGACATCGTGGAAGCTTCTGGCAGCTTCTCACAGGAGCCACCTCTGTGGCCTTGCTGCTACCAAAAACCAGGCTGTGCTAAATTCACAGGAACCTCTGAGAAGAGCCTTGTTCTTTCTCTGTTACATCCTGTAAGGCACTAGTCAAGTAACAGGTGCAATGTGACTGCATTTCCAAATAACTGTTCTCAAGAAGCCTTGGGTTTGTTCTGTATCATCAAAATTTGCAACTTCAGGTCCATTAACTCCTCTTTGAAAAGTCACATTAACTTTGAAAACAAAAGGTAATAAACTTGGAAGGTAATACTGCGAGGTATTTACTGGAAGGTAATAAAGCAAGCCTCACCACAAACACATTGTGAGCATGGACTTTTTGTCACTTAGTGATTCCATGCTTGTCAAAATGCAGCATATTAACATGATTTCAGCTTATACTGCAATGAAAGATGGGGATTGGATGTTCCAGTACCAAACTCAGATTCATAAAATAATCCCTGGTACCTCTGTGGTAGATGGACTTCATGAAAATCAGAAATGGGAGACTTAGGTTACACTAATAATGCCAAGAAAATTTTCAGTGTCAGTGTCCTGTTACTATTCAAGACAAGGACATATAAACCCCCACTGCTTTCTAACTGCAATGCAAATGCATCCATATTTTAAAAGTTTTATTTTGCCATCAGAAACAGGTACAAGAACCCCCCTTTTCATATGTTATTTATAGTCCTGTCTTTAGAGTTCTGTTTAAAAAGATGTGATACTTGGTCTCATTTTCTCCCTAGGAAACATAGCTGAATAGGATTTTCTGCAGAGTAAGAATCCATAATTTGACTTAGTGTAACAGTTATTTTAAATTCTGCTGCTTATCACTAGCAATAACTGCAAGAGAACTCATCTTCAACAAATGCCCAAAAAGCCTAGTCAGAGTGGATCATTTACAAAGTACAGGTATAGGAATGTGATAATCAATCAGGCAGAAAGAGACAACCTCCCTGCTGAGCCAGATAGGAATGAAAGATGGCTTAAAAAAATGACCAAATTTTGTCATCAGTATGCCAGAGGAAAACAACTGGTTTCATTAAAAAACATTTTTATGACCATTTGTCAAAGGTCAATCCACTTGAAGTCAATAGGTCAGGCATTGTGATGCAGCGAAACCTCATTTTTACCATTCTGTCTGCATCAATTCAATATTTTCTCCCACTGTTTCCATCTGGCACTGCAAAACCGAGATAATTTCTTTGGCTAATATGTTCCCTTCTGTAACTTGAATGTCTCTTAACAAACAGGATCTTGCAGCAGCTGGTATATACCACAAAAAGTTTCTGCACAGTTTGGGAACCCTTTCTTCATTTTCCTGTAGTTTTGGCCAATCTCTGTAGCTTGTAGTACCACTAAATGCTTGGGGATTTTTTGTTTTGTTTTGTTTGGGTTTTTTTTTTATGAATTTATCTAAAAAAACAAACAACAGCAGATTAAGATACACAGCAGAAACATTTCTTAAGCTCATAAGTAAATATTACCATGCTTTATACATTTCTGAAGAAAAAAAAAATAAGATAAACATTCAAGGCACAAAAACTGCACTAAAAACCAAAAGTTATAAAGAAAGCGAGGCATGCATATCTCTCTTGAAACCTTGCATGGCATATGCAGCAGTCAGATTTCAAATGTATAGAAGTACTAAAATATAATCCTTGTTCAAAACAAGAACTTCATACTGATGTTTTTCCATATAGATTGACAGCATGCAGGTAATTTTTTTACTCTGAATGTGCCATACTGGTGGGCAGGGGCCATTCTTTGCTATGGTTGAATGTGGCAGAAAAGACAGATAATGATCACAAATGAAATTTAACAATAAAATTTAATCTGAGTTACACAGACTAAGGTCAGAATTACAGTGGTTTAAAGTAAAACATTTGTGTAGATCTTACATTACACCTTTGCTGATAGCCAGTTTTACACATTCTCCTGTTTCTGCTCCCTACTCTTATACGATAGTCCAATAAAAGAAATCATTACAAGCAGAGTTTCCAAGCAGCTTTTTCAGCTTTTAGTGGATGATTCGAACTCCCTAAATCAATCAGAGAGGGTAATAAAGTACAATTTATTGTACAATGCAGGGCCTGTAGGTATCTAAAGCACCTTCACTGACTTTGTTAGGAGCAGCAGTCTTTCAAAACAACATCCACCAGTTCAAATGAGCCCAGCCTTCACTCTTATTTCATCACTTATTTTAGGTGACTGTGTAAATACCTTCTGAACTTCCTCTTTGATCTGTTTTCTTTAAAAAAAGAGCAAAAATGCAAGATATCCTTGTACGAAATAAGGGCTTTATGTGACTTGAAGCCTACAAGTATTTAGATGCTTCCATTCAAATTTAACCAGAGGATCAATGAGATTAAGAGTCTACTTCAATATTCCTTTTTAGCCATAGCTTTGAGATCAGTTTCTATGAATTTCCCCAGTTGGTAGAGTATAGAGAAAAGGAAGCTGTGGAATTATTTCACCATGTCTGTTGGCAATGCAGTGTGGTTGAATTATTTTCTGCAATTCCTACTTTTTTGTGGGCAAACTCCAAGGCTGTGGAGGACACCTGTAGGGAACTGGAATACTGGCCTTCATGTTCCAAGACATATACCCAACTAACAGTGACCTTGAATTGTGGAGGTCTCTAAGTTCTGAGATCAGGTAATAGAAAAACTAGAAATAAATGAGGGAGCATATACATTTAATACCAGAAGAGGATGTAGATAAGAACAGGGAGGTGCAAATATTTCTACATTTCCAAAAGCACTTGTTGCTCCACAGACCACCACAGATCCTGACTGAAGACAGTTCTTAACTCTTTTCTCTCTCAGGATTTCAGGTATTTAGATATTTGTATCAAAATAACTAGCTTTTATTTGAAAGTCTTAAAAATTCATTTAAAATTCTTTGGAACTGAGAGGTTAAATGATTGCACAAAAGTTATTCAGGGGAAGGGAGTGCTTATTTTTTACTACAAAGTGTAGCCCTTAGGAAAGCCCTGTGCCAAGGCACAGTGGACAGAATGCAAACTGGGGTTGGGCAAAACCTATTGACCCTGGGAGGGCAGAAAGTTTCCTGACCTGTAGGAAGGGTGCCTTAATCATCAGGGTATATCAGCATCTCCAGGAAGATATGTGATTTGAAGGACCTAAAAATGCTTAGGTATGAGCTGGGGGGCATGGCATTCACCTCTGTAATACTCCTGGGAATGCTTCAAAGCTGTTGCAGAGCTCTAGGAAGTTTTAAAAACAGAACTTGGGGACCTCAGAAGCTCCAAGGATCTCTGACACTTCATGGAAGCAGCCTGCTTTGAGGACTGCAGTTTTGATTTAACCACACAAATTGTGGGTGAAATTGTGGGTTAAATGTCCAGTTGCTGTTGTTGATCTAATGCTTAAATTTTACTTGATGCCATCTTACGCTGACTTTACCAAATGTTTTACTAGTCTTTATGCTGATGAAGACACTGGGAATTTCTGAGTTTATCCTAATATTTATCAAAGTATTAGATGGACCAAAAAATGCTAATAGGATGCACAGGTTTGCTCTGGATCCATGTATGAAAAATTAGTATAATCCTGGGGTTGTGGTTATTTGTTTTCTTTGGTTTTGTCCTGTAAAAACATACTTAGGAAAAGAAGCAGAACACAGATGGAAAATGTGCAAGATAAACCAGCAGAAAACCAGAGAAAATTTGTTGTTGGTTAAAAAAGGAACTATTTGGGGTTGTATGTAAGAGAAAAGAATTTTCTTGAAAAACAGAAATTAGCAAATCCAGCTACAGCTTCCAAGTACGGCTTTACCTACACCAAGAACATGTAATAATCCATATGTCTCTAGTAGCCTGCAGGATATATGCAGTGAGTCACCTGAATTTAGCTTTTTTTCAGCAGAAAGTAATAGCACAGGAAGTTTAAACAAAGAGACAAAAGCCCAAAGCAGCACAGTGGGAAATTATTCTGTTTCACTCTTTCAGAATCAAAGAATAAATCTATGAAAATTAGGGAAAGAGCAAATAAGTTTTTGAAACAACTCTAAACTCTGAAAACATTTCAAGCTAAAATAATACTACACTGATGAAAAACAAACTTGGCAAGGACACTGAAAGTGATAAGGAAGGAAGAGTTAGGTCTTAGAAAGAAACCTACTAGCTAACTGTACTTGGTCTCTGCGCAGTATTTTACCCAGGGATACCTTCAGACTGTATTTGAGAGGTGCAGGCAATCTTCCACTGCTAGCTTTGTATTTTTTAAAAGTGAAGAGGCAGTCACCACCTCTCTCTGACACTCGTTTGTCTCAGGTGTACCAATGGAACCTCTCTCAGTGTCAACCAACAGATTCACTCTGGACCTTTACAAAAGGCTGAATGAAACTTCCAAAGGCCAAAACATTTTCTTTTCTCCTTGGAGTATTGCAACTGCTCTTTCCATGGTCTACCTGGGCGCAAAAGGTGACACCGCAACCCAGATGGCTGAGGTAAGCTCTGAAATTAACTGTGTACCATCTTACAGGGGGTTCCTATGTAATTTGCATTGTTATTCTACCTATGGAGAACAGCAAGGAACAACATGGGAGGACAGGGATCTGCAATGCTGACAGCATGAGAGGGGGTTCTTTTCTGTACCAACACTATGGCAGGTCACTTCCACTCTATTTCCAAGATCTCTGCTCTCCACCAACCCTACATTTAGCTTACACTTACAGCTCACAAGAGCATTGCAAGTGATCTGCCAAGGAGAAGTTACTGACATTAGAGGCTACTGTTGGTCTTTCTTGGAACTCTATGTTCCATTTTAATTGTCCTCTGAACAGAATAATTAACCTAACATAGAGCTCAAATAGTAATGAGGAGACATCTTTATTAAAAAGATGAATATGAAGCTAAGATGTGCTAGAGAAAGGAGATATGGATAACATCAATACTTCTAGACCTCAGCTGGTTCTGGCAGCAGTATTTCTGCTTTCTCATACTGCATACAGCAGTTAGCAAGCTCTCCTGAACATGTGTTTGGCTGCAAAGGAGAGGCACAAATCTTTGTTTGTGACATAGTCCATAAGAATGGTAATTCTTCCATGAATAATGGAGATATGGGAGTACTAAAAATATCAGTCATAGATTATAATGAGTTGTAATGGACCCATGAGGACCATTGTGTGCAACACCTCACCCTGCTCAGGACACCACAAGAGTCACGTCACACTTGAGAGTCTGCCTGAGAGTGCTGTCCAAATGCTTCCTGAACTCTGTCAGGTTTGGTGCTGTGGCCACCTCCCTGGGGAGCCTGTTCTGGTCACAACACTGATCTATTATTAAGCAGTCCATGTTGCTAAAATCTATATAGTAATGATACAGTTACAGAGATTTAATCAAGAGTAGGATAGTGTCCTCCATAAGTTCAGTAAGACTGTCATTGGGCATGGCTGGTGAATTACCATAGAAAACTAAGATACAACCCTTGAGCGTATTAATCTCAAACAAAAAAGCTGTCTTTATGATCATTTATCATCATCACAGGTTCTTCATTTTAACCAGACTGCAAGAGAAGAAGGGTCATCTGAGACAACAAGGCCTTCTTCAGCAAGACCAAAGAAAAGAAAGATGGTATTTATTACAACAAAAGAATCTGAGATAAAAATCTCTGAGAATGGGATAGTCCAATGCAACCACTGCTTTAGGCTTTTAACATCTGCTTGTTCTCAGTCTATTATCTACTGTCTGGGTTCAGTAAGAACTATATACCAAAAAAGTGAACAAGCAGGTAATATGACTGTAAAACTAATTAATTCAGTCTTTCAAAAGCAGAACTGAAGCATTAACAGCATTTTGATTGGCCATAATACTGCCTCACTTGGTTTTAGATAGGCTGTGGAAATATAAAAAAGTCATTGGTCCTAATAAGCTTTGGACAATTCCATTTCTTATTACCTTCAGGTTGGTTGGGTTGTTTTTTTTCTGTAGTGATAAACAATTACTGCATTCACACCTGACTTCAGCCCTACCCAATAAAGTCCCTTCCTCCTTTTGTATGCACAGACACATCACACAGACAGAATTCCCCTTTCAGGTGTGTTGAATCACCCTTGCTCATCAGCTCCCCAGAGACTTGCCAGGAGGAGAAATGGCCCGGATTTTTTTCAATAAATAAGCTCCGTAATCACTGAAAAGTATTAAATTAAAACAAGCCATGTTTGTTCTTTTTTCAGTATAGAAGCTAAAAGACAGCTGAAATAAATTAAATTAGATTAACTGCAAATAAAAAGGGCAAAGGGATTATATCATTCTCTCCCTTGATGGTGTGAAATTGTTCTTCAAGACGAATCACTGCACTCACATTCATTTTAGCAACTTATCGACTTCATAAATAGTAGCAAAGTCTGTCTAATCTTTTCCTTCGGATATTTCCCCCTATTGCCTCTTTGTTCTGTTCCCATCCCATTGAAAAACGCTGCTATCCTGTGTCCTCTGGCTACCAAATTCTTTCCTAGGTGTCCTTCCTGGCAGCCCATGTCTCAGCATGAGTGAGAGATCATAGCAAGGAATGACAGACAAGTCAGTGGCAGAGACTCTCGGTGTCTCAGGTGTAGGGCACAGTACATGACATGGGGGAGGACACTGCATCCAGGCAGCTGGTGGGGGCAGCTGGCAGGTAGCAGCTCATTCCTCCATTTGCAAAGCAACAGCTGGCAACAGCTGGCAATGAACCTCATCCTCCCTAAAACCATCAACACTGACATCCAGAACAAGCTCTCTCCAAAATCCAAACAGCAACAGAAAACACCCAGGTGAAACAGGGAAAATTTGAATACTTGGTAAATCCATGCCCTGACATTAGTTTCTGTGAGGGTAGAACACCTTCTCAAAAGCTGCCAGGCTGCACTGATGGATCCTTGTGAAACTGAAAATCAGGCCTGAAAATGACAAAATTTAGGAGACTCCTGGGAGCACCATCAGATGATGCCCCCAAACACCTACAAAGTACTGCAGAAATAAGTCATTGCCCTACAAGTAGAAACCCATTTATCTAGTTATACAGAGTGCTGCAATCATGCAACATACTCAAAAAAGGGTTTAATTCCCTGAAACTCCTTTTTAATTAAAACAACATGAACAATTTAAATAAACATAGCAGTGCAACAGAAAAAAATAAATCCATGTAACTGCTGTCTCTTTCCAAGGATCCTGAGCATGAGGGAGCAGAAAACATCCACTCTGGCTTCAAAAAGCTCCTGTCTGACATCAACAAACGCAGAAACACTTTCTTGCTGAAGAGTGCCAACCGACTGTATGAGGAAAAGACCTACCGATTATTGCCTGTGAGTTGAACATCTTAACTTAGGAATATGTTGACATTAAGAGTGATTATCAATACAGACAATACAAAAATTCCAAGTGATAGCACTGGGGTTTGAGCGAGAACACAAGGACAGCCATAGAGGGTAAGTCTTGGACAGGCAAGAGGTCCATGTATTTTCAGCAGCAGGCAATAGTTTGGCAAGGGCATGAGAAAACTGTAGTGATTCTTCTCCAGAATCTGCTGTGGCCACCAACTGACCTGCAGCTCAGTGACTTCTTGAACCAGAGGCCATGTCTACTTAGGAGACCCTGATGAGCTGCTGTTTCAGGACTTTGCACACTTGTCTTTCAAATCTACTTCAGCCCTCAGCACCAAGATTCCCACACCTGAGCTATACACTGCAGGAAGCCCTTGTGCTTTTTGAGCTTCCTGCCTGTTAGCATCATTGTTGATTCATTTCTGTTCTGAAGGACATTTCTACACATCTCTTGTCACCCTTATCCCCTGCATCTGTATCTTTTATACTGTAGCATTTCTGAAACTGTGGAGGCTACAGCTGCACTGTAAACTCAGATAGTGGACACGCTATAGTATTATAAAGTGCCATTATAGAAATTTCTCTTTTGTTGCCTACTATTTCTTCATAGTTCTTAAATTTTTATTTGCATTTTTGGCCATGATGAGGCAGATTTTTTCATGCATCTCCATTACAGCTTCAATACCTCATTCCTAAACCATAACAATCACTTCCTATATCTTACACTTTACTGGATCACGTATAAATACATTAATATATATATTTTAATGTAAACATCCAGGCTTTGGTTTTATAGAAAAAATACTGTAGCACAGATGCCAGTTCACATTTCCCTGTGGTACTCCAGTAGTCATGATCCTTCATTGTCAATGGTTTTTTTCCTCCTTCTCTTGGTTTACAGTCTTTTAAACAAATGAGACCTATCTCTGTAGTCCCATGGATGCTCAGCCTTTGGTGACAAGTCCTACAAAATGCATTTTGGTAACCCAAAAAGACTGTAATAGCTCAGCCCTTTTACCCATATGCTTCCTAACACCTTCAGAAAACTCCAACAGATTTGTGGTTTTGGATTTCCTATTACAAAACATTATTGGCACTCCTCCAATAACCCACATTAACCCATACACGCACTATGCCCATTCAATTCATCTGACCCACAGCAACTCATGAATTTGTAATTATCTGTATCTCTGAAATCTTTTAAAAACTGGTGTTGTATTAATCATCTTCCAGGTCCTTGGAAGGGGGTTTTAAGTGAGATTACTGTTCTTTGATTTTGGAGTCTGTTTGGTGTCCTGAGTAATCAGCAATTTGTCCTTCTGAATGTGTATTGCTCATTTTCTCCATTATCTCATGTACATTTGCCTTACAGAGAACTGAGGGAATTTCCTGCTGGGAATCTCCATGAATGATTTCACAGCAGACAACAATGCAAACATTAATTCTGCTTTTCTACCATGATCTTATTCTACCAGAACATTCCTTTTATTGTCCTCACTAATTTTTGGCAGGTTCCTCACCTCTGAAGCAAACTAAAAGCCTTTGTTCAACTTTATATGAGACTATTCTGTCTTGTACTGAACACTACTTCATAAAGCAGGGGAAAAAAGTATTTAAATTACATAAAAATGTAATTTTGAGAAATTAAAAAAATAATTTATAGGTTTCATGTATATTTCAAAATTAAAAATTTCTACCTTTGATTTCAAACACAAAAATTTAAAGTATGTTTCCTTGAGACTGAAGTTTGATCACTGCTTACTTAATATTTATAGTAAAATGTATCCAACCTTATCATAAAGATTGCTGCATATAAACCAAATTTTCTTAAATTATGTATTAGCAGATTGTATAATCTGTTAAATTGATTATTACTAACATTTTTATAACTCAAGTTTGACTAAAAAAGCACACATCCTATCTTTCAGGAGTTCTTACAACTCATTACAAGATATTACAATGCAAAGCCCCAAGCTGTAAACTTTAAGAGAGCTGCAGAACAAGTCAGAGCCCAAATCAATTCATGGGTAGAAAATCAAACTGAGAGTAAGTATCATTCTGATGGCTTTTTTCTTGTCTAACTTCCAAATATTTTGCATTTCCACATTTATTGCTTTTGCAGCCAAGGATCCATAAAAGGTAGAAACTCAGGGCAGGAAAGAGATGAGCAAAGTACAACTAAATAGTCCAAAGAATGCCTCTCTCTAGCCTAACTGCTGCTCCTTACAAGGTCCTTCCCTCAATTCTTTACGTTGTAGCCTCCTCTGAGTCACTGCTGTTTCAAGGGATGCACAGGTAGATAACGTGTGGCTACAGAATGATTAGTGAGGGTTTTACTTCTGCATTCTTCAGCTGCTTGCAACCAACTATTTGGCTTTAGCCACTTTTCTATGCCATTTACTACCAAAACTCCAATAAATATCATTTTAAAAAACCCAGAGAATTCATAGAATGGTTTAGGTTGGAAGGGACCTTAAGGAGCGCTTAAGATCATCTCGTTCCAACCCTCCTGCCATGGATAGGAACATCTTCCACTAGACCATGTTGCACAAAGCCCCATCCAACTTGGTCTTGAAGACTTCCAGGGATGGGACATCCACAACTTCTCTGGACAAAGGATACAGAGATACTTCAAAGATCATTTTTACCATATGTACAATATAAAAATGTACAGTAAAAAAACCTCCCAAATGCAAAATTTTTTAACAGAGAGGTAGGCACAGACAAGAAACAGTTAAAATTGTCAAGTTATGCAGTCACACTGGAATAACAGTCTCCTTGTCTGATTTTGAAGGGAAAATACAGAGTCTGCTGCCTGCAGGGTCTCTTCATTCTCGCACTGTGATGGTCTTAGTAAATGCCATTTATTTCAAAGGAACATGGGAAAAGAAATTTCTGGAGAAAAATACTTCTGAGATGCCCTTCAGAATAAGCAAGGTAAATTTCTTGTTGATATGCCTGTTGTCCTATGTCAATATGTCTATAACCGAGGAGAAAATACTTCACCTGTATTTCATATGCCATTGCAACACTACTTATAGCTGAGAAAGTGGTACAAACTCAAGGAGAATACCAACTGTGAAAATAACTCAGCATTGTCTTATTTATGCATATCCATGAAAACTTGATTTTAAACTTATAACTCCTCAGTGTAAAAATACTTGTGAACAGTTAAAGTTAATTAAAAAAAAAAAGTAAGCTAAGCAGGTTAGGGAAAATAAGTTAAGGACAAGAAGAAATTTCTCTAATTACCATTTTCAAACAGGACCAGGTTGCTTTTGAGAACAATGTTTACACACCTAGAGGTCACTTTTGCTCTTGGGACCCTGAGATCATGGGATCTCATCCAGCTGTTCTTCCCACACGCACCCTGGGTGTTGCGTCAAACCTCACAGGGAATTTTCATGGGGTTTGTCATTTTAGTTGAGTGTGTGAGGGTGGTCTATTCAGACGATCTATTCATTGAGCTAACAGTATTAAATGATGCACTGGCAATTCCCAGTAGCTGACTGCATGCATATTTTTTGACTGTGTCAAAAGCAAGCAAAACTATTTGTCAATGGAAACAAACATTTTGTTTGACATAGATTAAGGGTGCAAATACTTCTGTATGCCAGACAATGTGAAGCAGTTGATGTGACTGTGTACCCAAAACCTACTACAGTACATGTGCCATTTTAGGATCTGTCACAGCAGTTGGTGGAGGCGGGTGACCTCGGCCCAACACTAGGTGCACTCCAAGATTCCCTATCAATGCCCTTTCTCAATAGGATAAGGGGAGAAAAATAGGATGAAAAGGTCATTGGTCAGAGAAAGAACAGGGAGAGCATTTACCAATTGCCATCACGGGCAGAACAGGCTCAACTTTAAGCAATTGATTAATTGCCAATTCTCAGAGTAACTTAGTGAGAAGTAAACCAAACATAAAGTGCCTCCCCTCCCACCCCTCCCTTCCTCCCAGGCTCAACTTTACTCGTGACTCCCCTGTGCTCCAAAGCAGTGCAAGGGACTGGAAAGGGGCTAATGTTGTAGTCAGCTCATCACATGTTGTCTCTACAGCTCCCATCTCCAGCTCCCCCTTTTCCTCTGCTCAAGTTTGGAGTCCTATCCATGGGAAAAAGTCCTTCACATCCAATGTGGGTCCCTCCCACAGTCTGCAGTTTTTCAAGAACTGCTCCAGTGTGAGCCCACTGCAGGGTCACAGGTGATGCCAGAAAACCTGCTCCTAAGAGTTGCTCTCCACAGCATCACAGGTCCTGCCAGGAGCCTGCTCCAGCACGGGTTCTCCATGGGTTGCAGGGTGGATATTTGCACCCCCATAGCCTTCACCATGGGCTGCAGGAGAATCTCAGCTCCAGGGCTTGGAGCACCTTTTCCCCCTCCTTCCTCGCTGATCTAGTGTCTTCAGGGCAGTTTCTCCCACATCATTTCACTCAGTTCTCCCAGCTGCTTTTGTGCAGCAGTTTTTACCCTTTCTTAAATATGTAATCACAGAGGCACTACCAATGTCACTGACTGGGTCAGATTTGGACAGTAGCAGGTCCATCTTGGGGCCAGCTGAAACTGGTTCTGCCTGACAGAGGCATCTTCTGACGTCTCCTCACAGAAGCCATCCCTGCAGCTACCTCACTACCATGCAAACCAAATACATTGGTGCAAGAGAGGGTTTAATTCACAGGGTGAATAGCAAGGCCTGCAAAGAGTGACTTGACTATCAAAGATAATTCCTTTATTTTAAATTTAGAAATACATTACATGGGATTCAGTCAGTAGGTATTTAGCTTGTTTATGCTATTTTTTTATAAAGATCTCAAAGACTTTGAAAAGGAGGTGTATGTGATACTGTCTAAAGGAAAGGGAACTGCGTATCCAGATGCTGCTGAATCTTGTGTTTGTTTTCAGTTCAATAAAGCAAGTAAATTTTATCATCCTTTTAATGTATAAGGTAATTTTTATGTCTGAATCTTTTTCCAGACCAAGACTAAACCAGTACAGATGATGTTTTTGAAAGATAAATTTTTCATACTCCATGAAGCCACCATGAAATTCAGAATCATTGAGCTGCCATATGTGGAAAATGAACTCAGCATGTTTGTTCTCCTACCCGATGACATCAGTGATAACGCTACTGGCCTGGAGATGGTAAAGCTCCTAATGCAGCATCACATACACTGTGAAAAAGTAACAGAAATAGATGAAAAGAGCCAAGAAGAATAAGCTTCAAAATCACAGTAGAATAGCTCTGATGTGCTCATACTTTGTTTCAGAAACTGTAACACCATGATTTTCAGCTTAGGATTCAGGACATGCGATAACATTGCAAACATAGTACACGTAAAACCTATGTCCACACAACCGTCTTCGACTATTTTGTATCCTTTTTCCTATTGCCAGTATAGCATAGGGAAAGCAAGGATCACCTCTGAATCACCGTGCCCTAGAGTTATCTTCTCCTGAGGGCTGTGTTAATTCATTTTTATGTCATTTTCAGTCTGGATTTCCAGCTGATAATTTGTGGTGAGGTTTCTCAAACTAAGTGCTGACTACCCTGGCCCAGAAGGTATCAACAGCAACTCATGACTATGCCAGGATCAGTTTCAGATTCTAAACAGAGCAAGGCAAATATTTTTATTTGTACCTCAGTTCCCATGCATCCCATTTATTTATCACTACTAAGAGAAAATTTATCCATATACACACACATCAAGCACCTATTACTATTGTTATAAGTGATACATTGCAAAAAAAAGCAATGTTCTTCACACCACAGAAAAAAAAAATTATGAACTACTCTGAGGTTTCAGGCCTACACCTCACCATGTTTAAAAAAATAAACAGGAGTATAAGTCACTCAGCACTTTGTAGGATTATGTCCTCTAAATATGATGCACGTTCCATCTATAGTCACTGCTGGTAGTTGGGTCTCTTTACATATTCTTGATGAGCATTAAGACACTGGTCTGTGCATGTGTTGACTCTGTCATTTGCATTCCAAATGTTTTCTTCCTCAACTCATTGCAGGTGGAAAGAGAGCTGACATATGAGAAATTGGCTGAATGGACCAAATCATCCAATATGATGAAAGCTGACGTGGATCTATACCTGCCCAAGCTGAAGGTGGAAGAGAATTACGACCTTAAATCCCCTCTGAGCAGCATGGGGATACAAAATGCTTTTGACCCACGCCAGGCTGATTTCACAGGGATGTCAGTGAAGAAGGATCTTTTCATCTCACAAGTTATTCACAAAGCTTTTGTGGAGGTCAATGAAGAAGGTACCGAGGCAGCAGCTGCCACAGGTGTCTTGATGATGAGATCAAGAGTCCCAACAATGACTTTCAAAGCTGACCACCCTTTTCTTTTCTTCATCAGACATAACAAATCACAAACCATCCTCTTCTTTGGCAGGTTTTGCTCACCCTAGTCAGTGAGTCCTTGCCCTGTGGAACAGGAGACGCTTGTTAGGACAGAATCAAACCCCAAACCTAAAGCTCTCTGTAACAGGGAGAGCGGGTCTTGAACACCTCCTTCATCAGACCTGAGACACAGCTCCTCCAATGTCTCCTTCCTAAGCCGAAGGGACAACCATGGCAGTGCCACAGAGAGTGTGTGACACCTTGCACTCACATGGCAATCCCAGCTGTCATTAGGATCAGGCCATCATGGGTAGCTGTGTCCTTACCACTAGAAGCTATGGCATTTCTACCTCTCCAACTCACAGCACTGTGCACAAACATTATTTTGCCAAAGGCTTTCTCCTCACCCTAATGATGAAGGCTGCTTATCTTGGTGTGGTCCTAGATGTATTCCCAGCCTGCAGCAATCAGACCCAGCTCCTGCTTTTTAGCCCTAAACAAAGCCCGTGAGTTATTACTGTAGTCAGATCCTCCCAACCTTCACCCTGTGGCCATCCCCTTGCGTTCCTTCCGCATCTCAGCTGCAAGTCTTCATCAGCTCCCAATAACCCTCTTGTAGCTCCACAGATTCCTTTTAATTAATTAATTAAATAAATAAATAAATAAAGAATACACCTAAGGGTTATTTGCCTCACTCAGACCCTCAGGAACTCGAGGAAGGGTTGAGCCAGTACCGTGTCTGGCTACGGCAACAGCTCGGTTTGGCTCAAAGCAATCCTACCTTCGGAAATAAGTAATAGTCATTAATAAGTCCTCATGGACCGGGGGTGTCTTCTCTCAGCTCTGCCACGAGAGGGAGGCAGAGGTGGAGAAACAGGGCCGTGACCGGCGGGGCTGGGAAGGGAAGGGAAGGGAGGGGAGGCGATTTCCAGGACTCACTGAGGCGGGGGGCCGCCATTTTACAGGGTGAAGCTGGGACACCCGCCTCTTCCCGGCGGCCAAGGGTGCAGCCGCCTCAGCCTCTGGCTGCATCCCGGGAGGGGCCGGGCTCCCGGCCTTTCCCCCCGCTCGGCTGCGCTTCCGGGAACAGGGAGCGCGGCGGCCGGCGGGGTGAGTGCCGCGGCCGCGTTGCTCTTGCTGATGCGTTGTCCTGGAGGCTTTCTACGGGAAGCCTGTGCTTGTGTTTTTTAGCGTGCTCTTGTTTTGCGGGGGTTTTTTTGTTGTTGTTGTTGGTTTTTTTGTGGGTTTTTTTGTTTTTTTTAAGAAGTAGAGCTGAATGGCGTTGCTTTTACTGTGTTTTGTCTTTTTTTCCTTCCCTCTTTCGTGACATTCCCTAAACACCGCTGCTTCTTGGCAGCTGGAGCCGCGGCTGTGCGGCTTGAGCACTTCTTGTGGGAGCACCCCGGGGATGTGGGGTTGGGACGTCTCCCGTAGGGCCAAGCCCGGAGCGGGGGCGGAGGAGGAACTCTTCGCTCCAGGGAGGAACAAGTCTTTGGCTTCTTGTGCCCCAGCTTGCTGGGACAGTGTCAGACGCCTCCCTAGCCCTCCCCGTCCCTGTGGAGGCACAGGGGTCAGGAGCCGGGCAGCAGCGGGGCCGTGTCGTTCCCTGCGGCCCAGGTAGAGTTGCGATGCCAAGGGCCATCACCAGCAGCTGTTCGCGGTCTCGCCCTGCAAGTGTTTTAACGTCGCTCCTAACTCTCCAAATCCTAAATGAAGCCTTTTCCCTCAAGCCTGCCTTGATTCAGCGGGTGGGAAAAGGAATGTCTGCCACAGAGAGAGCTTTGTCTGTGGAGATGGACACAGCCTGGTGTTCACTGCCCTGAGTTCCCTCTGGGGTTGAGTTGGAAAGACTCCTCTGATGTAGCTGACACAATATGGGGAAGTGCCCTTGTTTTATGGACACTGATTCACGTTATAGTTTTGGTGGGAAGTGTCTCTTGGCAAGTGGGCTGGAGGAGAGCTGCTCCCTGCTGTGTTTTCCCCATGGCGAGGCCCTGCAGTGGTTGTCTGCTGATTGATCTACATACAACCTTTCAGTCCATAAAGACTGTCCTGAAGCATAGGTGTCGACTGCTGAGAATATACACTTGAAATTCAGAGTGGTAGGAACACGAAAACTCCACACAAGTGTCTCACTGCTGACCTGCAGAGCGTGGGGAGAGCAGTGAGGAATGAGTTGCTGTCAGCAAACCCTTTTGCAGCAATTTACAATTGACTGACAAATATGTACTTGTATCTTGAGATTTTTTTGTTCCTTAAAGTGCATTGTGTATTGTCTCTGGAACTGTGGATTCCAAATTGTGCCTTATCTCTGATGAGAAGGGTGTCTGTAGTTATATTACTCCTCCTGAGCTGCAGAGAAAGCATAGTTAACTGGGCAGATGTAGCTCCTAGTCTTCTGTACCAGCTGTTGAATATTACTTATGATTTGGTTAAATGCCACTGATTTTCAGGCAGGCAAATAGTGTCAGCTGTGTCCTTTTGTCTGTAAATTCTTGCCTGGCATGGAAGCCCTACAGACACTTTCTAGAAGATAACTGCCTGCTGGTGTCACTATTCCTGTGTGTTTTGACCCAGAGATCAGAAAAACTGCAGATACTGGAACAGTAGGAAAATTCTGGTCTTCATTGTAACCAATGTGAACGCTGTGTGTCTTCTTTATGCTGCACAGTGCATAAATTACTCATTCAGACACAACTGGAGGATGTTTTCATCTAAGCATGCTTATTTTTTGGTTGTATTTTTTTAATTTATGGGAGAAGATAACTAGAATAAAATTTCTACTGTTTATAGTAAAGCTGCTAGCAAATAATTTTCTAGGGTGGAAATACATACATGTGGAAACTTGCTCTTTTCAAGTGTATGTCTAAGATAATGAATCAGTAGTATGAACAAGGTGGTGGTTTTATATTTGTTAGCAACATGTCAACACTAGGCCCTGCCTAAAGGGAAGAACAAAACACAGAGATAGTAAAAACTATCAGCATGTATCTTATGATGACTTATGATACTTGGTTGTGGTTAACTCAGTGTTCTAGTAGCTATTGCTCATTTAATAGGTGTGGTGCTTAATCTCAGATTCACTATCTGTAGCAGATGTGTATCGAGTATGACAGGCATTGAGTTTATGATTGTGTGTGTTGCCATGTTGCAGCCAACAAAATGGAACTAAAATGAACTTTGACTTTCTTTTCTTTGTAACACAGCAGGAAATTGCAGTCACCTGTCATGCTGGCAATTTACATTTTTTCTTTTCCTTCTTTTATCTTGCAAGCCAAGTCATTCTGCTGGCTTCTCCCAGCCTGCCTGGCAGGTTTAAAACCCACTGTGAACACGTAGAAGCAAGCTGCAGGTACCACTGAAGGTCTGTAGACTTAGAGAAGGTAAGAGTTGGTAATTCTACTGTTCTCCAGGTCTCTAAGTTTGGCTCTGGTTGCCTTTAAAAGGCAAATGATTTTCTGTGTGAAGTCAAGAGAAACTTCTTTCAGGAAGTCGTGAACAAAATGCTGCTGTGCCTGATCACATCAAAAGATGTCACAGTGTGTCAGTGTGGGATTGAAATCCAGTAGCAGTCTCTAATTGGCTGCACTAATTGAAATGTGTAGTATGGGATCTCAGGTGCTTGTGGCACCAAATCAGTCTGGAGTGAGCTGATAATTTTCGAGCCTTTGCTGCCTAGTTGACCCTGGGGAGTTTAAAAGGGAGAAACAACTGTTTGGTAGCCAAGTAAATTTGATCTATGCTCATTCTGTGTTTTATGTCTCAGGCTCAGAAGCATGGAAAGCCTCTGTGCAGCCAACACCACTTTTGCAGTGGACCTGTTAAGGATGCTGTGTGAGAAGAAAAGTGGGCAGAACGTGTTCTTTTCGCCCTTTAGTATTTCTTCTGCTTTGTCTATGATTTTGCTGGGTTCAAAAGGTAGCACAGAAGCCCAAATAAGCAAGGTAGGTCAAAATAAACTTGGTGGTTTGCATTGGATGGGAGCATATGAGGAAGAGTCTGTGACATGGACTTGTGCTCAACTGTGATTGTCACTGTGGTGTGGGAGAGCAGAGCTCTTTGTCTGGTGTGTGTGTGTGTGT